CAAACTGACGAGAAACTGTACGGAATTGCAACCACGTATCTGATCACGTCAATTCTCTGGTGGCTTGTGTTCCGCTATTTCAAATCCGTTGTCTGTCTGTCTGCACCGTGGTTCTTGTACGGCATTGCCTTCATTTTCATTGGATCCGCTCATTTTGAGAGCAACTCGTTCAGTCGGGGATGGATACAGAATGTTGGTAGCGGGTTTTACGCCGCGGCCTCATCTAGTGGCTCTTTCTTCTTCGCGCTGAACTTCGGTGATGAAGGTGGTGCACCGGTGGAAACATGGATCTTCCGTGCATGCCTGATTCAGGGTATCCAGTCTGCCTATGTCATTGCTCTCTGGTATTGGGGTTCGACTCTGTCACAGACACAGAGCGAAGGCCTCTTGACTCCAGCAAACAATATTGCCAATTCCTGGAAGATGAGGTACGTTCCATCGTTTTTATATACTAAATTCTACTAGCTAACCGAACCTTTCGCAGTGCCATCTGCTACCCCATTGCCGCCGCCCTTTTCGGAATTGGCTTGCTCTTGACATTTGGCCTGCCCAACTATTACCGTCAAACGCCTGGAAAGGTTGCTTCCTTCTACAAGTCCGTGTTCCGTCGTAAGATCGTCCTCTGGAACTTCGTTGCGGTCATCCTCCAGAACTTCTTCCTCAGCGCCCCCTACGGCCGCAACTGGCAGTGTAAGTCCACCTCCGTATAGTACTTTCCCTCCCACCAGGCCAAACTAATTCCGTCTCTTTGCAGTCCTCTGGACATCCCACCACGCACATCACTGGCAAATCGTCATCCTCTGTGTTGTTTTCTACGGCTTCGTATGGGCAGGTTTCCTATTCGTCGTCAGTCGCTACTTCAAATCGCACAGCTGGTTCCTCCCCGTGTTCGCCTGCGGCCTGGGAGCGCCCCGCTGGGCACAAATCTGGTGGGGTGTGTCTGGAATTGGCTACTACCTTCCTTGGGTGACAGGAGGATATACTGGCGGCGCGCTCGCCTCCCGGAGTGTCTGGCTCTGGCTCGGCGTGCTGGACTCGATCCAGGGTCTCGGCTTCGGTATCATCCTCTTGCAGACCTTGACTCGCATGCACATGCTTTTCACGCTTGTTTGTTCCCAAGTCCTTGGTTCTATCGCCACTATTTGCGCGAGAGCCTTCGCCCCGAATAATGTGGGCCCCGGGCCTGTTTCGCCGGATCCTACCTTTGGTGGTAGCGCAGTTGCGAATGCCTGGTTCTGGATTGCTCTGTTTTGTCAGTTGTTGGTCTGGTAAGTTATTGATATTCCTTGGACTTCGTTCTATTCTCTGCGACGATGGCTAACGCGTCATGATTCTAGTGCCGGTTACATCCTCTTCTTCCGGAAAGAACAGCTGTCAAAACCTTGAGGGCCATGCTTAATGGTGTCGTGTTTTGTTATGATTACTATCGGGAATGTATACATAGTCCAGCTCTCTGGACGTTACTGTCTATCTTAATATAATCCTTTGTATATAGATGACCATAATCTGAATATATTCAGATCAACGAGAATTTTATGTCAACACTTTGTGGTGCAGAGAGCATCGGCACAGCCGGCGAGATGGTAGATGGAGTAGAAAGTGATCCTATTTCCGTCTAGTATCAAATTCATTCAGTAGTCCTTTCGCTTTGTCTTAAACCCCAGGCAGTCTCTCAAGAAGCCTACTTGACATCCATTCTGAAAAGATTCGAATCCATGCCAGGCTGCAAGGGCTTACTAAGCATCTCCCGTTTGTTTACAAGACGCGACGCGTAAATCAATGTTTACTGGGAAACCACCAAAGGACAGACCTGGGAGGAAAATCGACTCAGATTCCAATTCGAATGAATATCGCGTCTCATAGCCACATTGATAACCACTCTGCTCAACAGGTAGTATAGGAGATAGCCATCGTGGAGGTCAAAATCCGATATCGGAAGGGCATGCTAATCACGATTCATAGTCCTCCGTGTAGATGGTAACGACGGCCACCACGCGAGAATTCTGAGGAGCTTTACTGAGAATTGGTCTTGTGCTTCCTATTTGTACAGGGTTCAAATATGGTATGCCTGTCTCATTTAACATATCCCCTCTCTTTCCCCCGCTCGTCTGGTGCAGCAACTCCGAGGTCCCTCGGCTGGCCTCAAACAGGGTTAGCCTCTCGGACACCGGAGATGCCAGATGAATTTCTCTTCAATGTCCCCAGCCATCAGTCGTAGGTGCCTTTGTACTTTTTCTCTGGTTCGTAGGATTAGAATAAATATCCAGAATGCCATAGCTGAGAAAAATCAAATACAAACGACTCATTCTTGTAGCTTAGGCCCCCGAGGCGGTTGTCGCCGTATACTAGCCGAGATATATAAAAAGGCTTCACATTCGGCCCGCGGTACAACACCACACCCACGCCGATGTTACATGGTACGACAAGGGTTACAATGGCGTCGACCTTTCCACCAATGTGTAGCCATGCTAGCCAGATAAGCTCATTTCAACGTTCGGCAATGCATCCGTCTACGAAGGTTAACATCTGACAGTGATCTTCGCGTCAATCTGACGATCGGGACTCTATTATGTGGGTATGCTGATCGAAGCTAAGTTTATCTTGATGTCGGACAATCCCTCACTCTTGGTGAGGATGTGGTATAAGGAATTGCAGACAAGCATGAAAAGTATTGTGAAAGGATGCAAACTCCATGGTGTTGGGGAACTGCAAGGCATAACAACCAAGCACAATGGGTGAGACGTCAGAAAAAAGCAAAAAACAGAAAAAGAAAAAGAAATAAGAAGGCAATACCATTAGTGATACATCTAAGGGGACCACGAAAGGGAAAGTCGAAGACAGAAAACTGTGAGGGGAATCCAAAAAATCACAACATCCCGCAAAGCCCCATATTCTTCATTAAATCACCAGCGACAATGTCAATCCCAGCCGTAGCTTCATCCTCCCGACCAAAGGCGATGAACATCACATCGTCCAAGTACCCATGGTACTTGTTGCCCGGTGCTTTCCAGCTGATGGAAGTCACGTATAGCATCTCCGTGTGGTCCCATGCCTCTGACTCTCCTGTGGTCAGCGCCTTGGGTTTCTTGCCCTGACCAGGAGTGCCGCGACCCGAGATCCAGAGGGGCTTAGTCGAGATGCCATGGACATCGAACGGAGCCGACCGGCGGAAGAGCATGACATATGGCTCATACACGCTATGGAATGCATAGAAACTCTTGTGTTGGAAGATGGTGAGGATGAAGGTGTTGAGGTCGGTGGCCTGGCACAGCGGATCTGATCGCTGGCAGAGCGTGATGGTCAAAGAGTTGGTCGCCTGGTGAATCGATTCCAACTCCGCGTCCTTCAATGCCGGAAGGTGTCGTTGTAAACATTGCAGGTCAGTCGCGGCCGCAAGGGGTGCCAGGTCTGGACCGACCGAGCCGTCAAGCTGCAGCCGAGCGAAGACCCGGTTGGGAGCCACATCGTAATGGACATACGCTTGTCCTGTAGCGTCCCAGAAGAGGAACCAGTTCTTCTCGACGGCCCCGTAGGGAAGTGGACGTTGCAACTCGGTGGCCTGGCGGAACCCATGATCGGACAAGAAGTCCGTGTCCCCCTTCCAGTCGACCAGGGGCCGGAAGTCATGGATCCATTGTCCGAAGCAGGTGAACTGGGAGTTCGACCCGTAGACGGCGTACGGTGCCTCGGGCCCATAGAAGACACGCGCATCGTGGGGTCCGATGTTGAGCGTGAAGTATGACAGGTCGCCCAGACAGTTGTTACTGTCGCCGACCGTCGCAGCGATCGGAAGGATCAAGGGAGGCTCAACACAGCCTAGGGTTCGTCCGCCATCCCGAAAGACAGCGTCACAGACCAGTTCGGCGAACCAGACCGAGCCCTTGCGCTTGTCGGAAGGCTTGTGCAGTTGCGCGGTGATGATCCATGTATTCGGCTGCTCGGGATGGGGGATGATACTGGGATTAATGGCCTGTCGGCCAGCAAAGTCGATCTTGAACAACTTCTTGTCTGGCGTCGATACGGAGTACAGTTCCGTATGGGTGGTGGACATGTCTATCCTGGAGTCCGATGATGCATCGAGACCCGTGCGTTGGTCCTCATATTGTGGTTGTTCATATTGCTGACCCCAGCGATTTCCGCTAGAATCCGGACTGGGGCTTTGATCAGGGCTGGGAAAGGAATGATCCCAAGGAAGACTACTACTGCGATGGAGATAGTTGCGATGGTATAATTGAAGCCCTAGTACGGCGAGCACCAGCACCACGCCGACAACGGGGACGATGCGCTTCAACCCTTTCGCCAGCATGACTAACGAAAGAGGGGTAGCAGGGAAATCAACTCCGATAGTCGAGCAAACATCAGCCTATTGTACGAGGGTTCCTTTGGAGCTAACAGGAGAAGTCAACCGCGTTGGGAGGCAAATTAGGGCACGGTGCAGGTTTGGATACTTTTGACCCGCGTGCGCCATTTTTTTTTCTTCTTTTCTTTTTTATTCTCTCACGCTCAGCCGTGTTTTCCCCTCATGTAACCAGGATCTGGTCGGAATTCGTCACATAACCCTGGTTGGTAGCTCGACTTAGTGGCGTCTTTTAAGATTTGGTCGAGCTTCTTTTCTCCGGGGGTGCAACCACTGAACTTCCCGTCTGGGGTATGGCGGCTCCACTGCTCCTGGAGGAGAAATTCATGTGATAGCGGTGGGTATACGCAAGACTTTTTTAAATTAATCTATCTGCTGCTGGCGTGGTTAGTTAATTTTTATTGTATTTTTATTTTTATTTTTCTCCTGCGACCTCCTCCGGCGTGCATCGGAAGTGGAAATTGGTCCGTGGTGGATCCTTTTGCTTCTCCCCTTTCGAGCCCAAGACCACGAAATGGTCACAAGGGATGCCGAGAAAAAAATGCGAGAAAAAAGATACCGAACGCTGGGACTACAATGAAACCTTATTAATCACAAAGAATAATGGTAAAGTATGGGTTTCTCTCTATATGACATATATATACTATGATTGGTTTGCGGGTGTCAGGGTCTTCCGATAGAACCACTGCGCAAACCGGACGCTCGGTTCGTCGACGAATTTAGTCACAATCTCGGCGAGCCAAAGCGTCACCGGCAGCAAAATGAGGTGTGGGGCGAAGAAGTTCAATTCCAGGCCAAGTGGGCCGACTTTGGGCAGAGGGAAGCGATTAATCCACCCCGGACAGGTCGTCGCATGGGAGTCCCGAACCCAGCCCACCGCGGCATAAAGGCGATCCCCCAGTACCCAGAGGACGGGTCCGTGAACCAAATAGAACGCAAAAGAGATGCGGCCAAGATATTGGTTGAACGACGTTTCAAAGAAGCTTTTCAGCCAGTGGATCCGCGAAATGGAGGCCACCAGGAACGTCGCCGCCCAGAACAAATAAAACCATTTGAAATCAAAGACCGCTTGTGGCTTCAGGTAAGAAAGGTAGTGCCACCCGGGAGAATCTCGCAAGAACTGTTCCTCCCAAGTCCGCGAGGGAACGCCACCCAAGTACAGACTGATCCCTAACATGGCATAAAAGATGCCCTCCTTGAACGGCTCTAGCATCATGAACACGTCGGGAAGCTCATCGCGGGCAGCACGGAGGTCCAGGTCACAGAGCAACATGCCGGCCATGAAGAGCGCGCAGAACCAGCCGTCAGCGATGTACATGAAGTAGAAGATCAATCCCAGTTCACACAACAGTCGCGCGTTGGCTCGGCATTTCGAGAAGGCCTGGAGAGCCGTGTAGATGACAATGGACCCGCGGAACTCGACGGGGATAGACCACGAGTGGAAATTATAAGTAAACCAGGGCTCCCCGCCGGTGCGGAAGACGAAGCTGAAGTTTTTCAGCTCGACATACCAATTCCAGAGCTCCTCCCCGTAGCTGGATTTGATCTCGGGAGTTGCGTGGATGCGAAACAGGTGTAGATATGTCATGTACACAAAGGTGGTGCAGATGACGGGGATGTGCAGTCGTAGCCAGCGGCGGAATAAGGCAGAGGCCAGATTATCGCCCAGTTGCAGATAATCCCCAGCTCTTATCAAGGAGAGTGGTTTGGCCGAAAGCACATAACCCGAGAGCACGAAAAAGACACTCACGGCGAAATGCCCACCCGAAAAGAAGATGCGCACGCCGGGGAAGGCGACAAAGTAGTGTTTCTTCTGGTAGCCGTAGGCATTCTCAAAAATCATCTCGGCCCCAATGCCATCGTGCGCCCAGAGCTCATGATGGCCCCAGTATACCAGGAAGGCTGCAAAGCCACGAAGTCCGTCGAGGTAAGCGGTACGCCTCCCCTGGGGACTGCTATGGCCACCCATTCCGGTCAGAAATGCCGGCCGGAGGTGATCAACACACCATTGAGCGGCCCGCGTAGGAATAGATCGGATCCGGGACGTTGGGCGCGATTTCCAATATCCCTTCTCTAAGGTGCCCTCCAGATCTACTGTACGCATTTTGGGGATGTCACCAAGAGCACTGTCTTCGTGGTAACTCGTCATTCTGGCGATTCAATGGCCCGGGGAACTGGGCCAGCGCAGTCGCCCTCGCGGGAGGATGACGAAAAGTGGTATTTGAGGGCGGAGATAATCCTGGTCCGCGCTGATTCAGAGACGGAAGATCTGACCCGGCTCGTGCGGAGACTGGGGGAATGGAGACTGAGTAGAGTCAATGACCAATTTACACCCAGATAAGAGACGTAATGCTGGAGTAGGGCATCACACATCACATGCAGTGATAAGTTCGAGAATTCCGAGGACCTGCTGTGGCCAATAACACCCGGCCAACTGGGAACTAAATAGAGCAGTCGTCAGCACGGTGATCTGTTCGTCGAGTCTTATCGACCAAGACACATGCGTCGGGGTCTTGACTTGGCTCGCGATGTAACCCTGGAGCCGAGGCCTACCCCAGACCCCCCGGTACTGTGGGAATTGCGTCGACCCAGTCAAAGAGGCACGCTGCCAATAGCGTCTTGGGCAGCGGCTCCAGTGGCGCACTAAATGGATCTGGACTTTACCCCGAATGAGCTTAATGATGACCAGGTATGCTGCATGGCCAGGATACACGCTAAAACACAGCCACTCAGCACCAATGAAACCATGGACGCTAACGGGGACAACTAAAACTACTAGCGAAATTAAGACGAAGCTGTCAGGATGATCCAACAAAAATCTTGCTGAGCGGCGGGGACACGAGATAGCAATCTCCGCATGGCCCGTTACGCGCAGCTCATAAACGTCGGAGGGTATCCTTTTCTCCTGGGCCTCCGTCCATTGATATTCTTGGGTTATGCGTCTCCGGAGTAACTAATGACATCCTCAATGTCCGGAGTGTGCCTGCCGAGACAGATCCGCAGGATCATCCCCGGATGCCTCGCGGCCATCTTGTTTGTGTCTTATCTTTCCATGACGGACACGTTTAGCGAGCTAAGCGATGGTCTCTCCTACCGATCCTGTGAAACCCACCGATTTTTCCCCAAGAAGATCTGGCAATCGTGGAAGGTTGCGCCTTTCGAGTTCGAGGAGCGTGATCTTACCGTGGCTCGCAGCTGGACGTCCAAGAACCCCGGCTATCGCTACGAAGTACTGACCGATCAAAATGATCTTTACTACGTGGAAACCCACTTTGGCCCGGACGGGTTCAACCGCCCGGACATCGTGGACACCTATCGCTCCCTCCAGGCCCAAATTATCAAAGCCGACCTGCTGCGATACCTGATCATGTACGTTGACGGCGGCGTGTGGGCTGACATCGACGTGGAGGCTCTCCGACCGATTGACCGATTCATTCCCGAACGCTACGATGAGCACGACATCGACATGGTGATTGGAGTCGAGATTGATGAACCCGACTTCAATGATCACCCCATCCTCGGCCAGAAGTCGCAGTCGTTTTGCCAGTGGACCTTCATGGCCAAACCGCGGCAGCCTGTGATGATGCGGTTGGTCAATCACATCCTGGAGTGGTTGAACGAGCTTTCTGTTAAACAAGGGAAGCCCATCGCTGAATTGGAGCTGGACTTCGACGATATCATCAGTGGAACCGGACCTTCCGCGTTCACGTCAGCGGTGTTGGCCGAGATGAGCATCAACGCGGGGCACGAGGTCGCATGGAAGACCTTCCATAATATTCCCGAGTCCAAGCTGGTCGGAGGCTTTCTCGTCCTCACCGTAGAGGCATTCGCAGCTGGGCAAGGCCACTCCGATAGTGGGAACCACAACTCCCGCAGCGCTTTGATCAAGCACCATTACCACGCCTCGGGATGGCCCTCTAAGCATCCACGCTATAACCACCCGGTGTACGGGGAGGTTGAGCAATGCAATTGGAACAAGGATTGCGTAGCGCAATGGGACTCCAATACCGCCGCCTTTGCCGCGATGTCACCAGAGGAGCAAGAACATCAGATCGCTCTGAAACGAGCTTTGGACGGCGAGGCAAACCCGGTTCAAGACCAGACAGCCTGGGTGAACCCTGAGCCTGATCCAGAATGGCAGCAACCAGAGTGGCAGCCAGAATGGCAATAACCCCCTCCATGATGTTGACGCCAGGCTTCACGAGACTGAGGACGTGACTGACTCCCGTCATGCATTACGGTCATTGTGTGAGCAACCGCGTCTTAGGGAACACATGGTATCACATCAACGAATTGAGCCCAAGGTAGGCCAACATTGATGCGCTGGGGTTATTCCTATTCCGCCTCTCTTTCCCATCCTCCAGGAAGAAGGGGGTGTTGCAGCATGGAAATGGTCTGGGGCTTTTCATGGAACGGCGTTTAGGTATGGTGGCAAGAACTAGCATGTTGTATTGGAGTTTTGATTTATTTCCTTCTTAAATTCTTTCCTTTCCTATTGCCCGGTCCCCTTGATCGGTCTCTTCCTGCAAAGGAGGTTGAGTGATTAGAGCGCGACCAAGGTAATACCTTGATAGATGGGCGGCCCTTTGTTTAATTATCTAGTCATTTATGGTTCATGGCATAGAATGATTTGTCCGTTCAGGCATCCTGAAGAAACGTCTACGATGATAGCAAGGGAAATTTCAGACACAGTGGAAAATGTATTTAGTTGTAAGTTGCGATGTTCGTACAAGGACTAAATCTACATACCTCGGCGTGCTATAATACAGTGCTGTACGTCTGCTTTTATACATAGTCAAAATGCTTCGCTAATGCAAAATTGATTGACACGCGTCAGCTATCGAAAAGTCCCCATGAGCTATCCACGCCGTTCAGCTGAAATTGACTGCGGATATAGTCGTCATCCACCAGTTCATCCAGCATCGACCAGAAATCGTCTTGATTCATTACCGGAAACCCTGCCGAATCCTGTAAAGCCCCAGCAGGCGGAATCCTGGCTTCCGACAGAAAAGATGCGCCGTCCAAACTAGCGTGAGGCAGAGATGACATAGAGACTAGGTCTATCATCCGTTTCGCGAGGACCTCAAAAATGTCACGGAACTTCGTGGCGGTCGGCCATCTTTCGGATATCGCAAAGAGAACGTTCGAACATGAGCGAATGTCCTCAAATCGAGCTAGGTCTGCATGCTCCCTCTCTGCCCAGATACAGTATAACAATGTGAGACCTGCCGTGAAGATGGAATGCAGGGCGAGGAAATTCCAGCCTAAAGGCTTTCTTTGGTGTAGCGTTCGATAGTATTGGCAAATGTCTCCCGCAGCTCTAGCGCTTAATGCTAGGTATTCCTTATCTTTGGAAGAGTTTACCTCGGAGGAGACAAGGGTAATCCGCTGTTGCAGGAGCATGCGCAAGGCCTTGCTGTATTGGATGCGGAAGAACTCCGGGGTGTCATACAGCAAGTAGCCTTCCTGTGGCGGACCGTCCGCAGAGACCTTAAAGGGTATGTTATTGAGCCACTCGAGAAGCTCCTGTCGTAAAGCGTCGATTGTCGCATCATAGGAGTAATTCTGCGTCATGGTCGGGGCGCTAGCGCTGTAAAGCTCCTGCTTTATTTTGCTCTCTAATCGCCTCAGCCGGCATAGGTGAACGAAGGACGATAAATTCAACGCTTTTGTGTCAGTAAGTGCCGCAGAGGGCTGCTTAAATTGAGTTTCCTTTTCGTCGACAGGTCTTTGTTCCAGAGGAACAGGTAACTGACAAGTAGATCAAGTTTTAGCCAACAGGTATCATCTCGCCATCTGAGCAAATCACCTACATCAACATCAATATCACTTTCCGACAGTGCAAACGGGCGTCCCAGAGTTAACGACACAGCACGGTCAAGGACATAAGCGCTCCAAAAGACTCGTCGGCGAATCTCAATATGATATGGATCCTGTGCTCGTGGCCCAACACAGGTGATGTTACGGTGTATTCCCAATTCCACTGCATATCGAACCGCGAATCCGATGATGTGCCAACCGCCTAAATTAGAAACACTACCTGGAGTACGAAGGATATAGAGCGCTAGGAGGAGTAAAGATTGAATCTTCTCTAGTCCAGGAACCTGTAGCGCCTCATCAGCGTACCGTATCGCGTTCGCATAATAAAACTCGGGACTGATGCTGCCACCCATTTCCGGATGAAGCTGCAGAATGCGGGCACTGATTGCAAACACCATATGAAGCTGGAACAGCTTGGATGGATTAACCCCCCGAATATCCGGAGATCCTAGGTAAAACTGGTGAAAATCGTCAAAGCTGAACTTGTCCAGAAATGGGTACCGGGGATGAACACGAGTGAAGAAAATGTCCGCCAGCTTCCGCTCGAGCTGGGGATCCGGTCTACTGTGAGTGTCCATGGGCGGATCAACATCATTGTTCGCCTGTGTATTCGCGGATGCGATTGACCCCTGCGCTGTATGTGGAATTGGGGATTGAGATAGTATGCCTTCCACCATTCTCGAGAGACCAAAGCCGGCGGTCGCGCCGACAAAGAACGGTTCGGCCGTGGCATTCATGCTTAGGAGGGCCACATCCGTGGACAGCTCAGTTGTTACCGATGTCACTTGGTGATCCGACGCCGGGGTGGTGTTGCGCTGGACATGACTTTCCAACTCCGCGATTTTGCTCTCTAGGCTTCGGGTATATTCTAGTAGGCTGGCGTGCTCTTCACTCATATCGCCCCCCATGCGGCCTAGTCCTGCCCAGGTGCAGGCTTCAGTCGTCAGTTGGACGAACATGATTTATTTCAGAGGTGCATATATATACAAGCTCTCGCCTTTTGACATGGCGTGCATACTGGACGCGTCCCATTGCACTACGGTGAGGTTAGTACTACGACATGATAGTCTTACAATCGGGGGTTTCGAGTGTACTTTGGTTTTCCGTCGTTTGCAGCGCAGGCAAGCGATGGGTGCCCTGGTTCGCTTGGAAGATGGGAGATTCCCCGGATCATTCATTGAGAAGAGGAACAATCACGACATAGGTCATAGGTAGTTGGCCGTGAGCAAGAAAATGTTGGATTGCGGTGAACCACAGAAATCGGGTGGAGTCAGAATTGCCTGATTTTTTGGGGGATTATTTTAGTCTTAAAGGGTCCAGGCCACCGACAAATCAGCTCACACACACTAAATGGGGCGCCCCCACCATTCTTCAATCCTCAATGCGACCTCGTTGAGTAATCTAACGCCCGTCTAAGGAACGATCTTCGTGGCATGCCTCCATACCAATTTCCTAAATGGGCGAACGACATGCAGACGCACCCACGTGAGGCCGGGCCTTGCTCAAAGAGGAAGGCGGAAAACTTTTCCAGCGCCAAGTTGTCTGCACGTTTTGCATCTCATTTTTAAATTATCGCCTCGTTTCAAAGGCCCGCTTTAGCGTAAACTCTTGAAAGTTCCCCCTGCATGGAGGCCCCTTGCACACTTTGATCGATCTCTTGGTGAGGTTGTAGATGACACAGCTGACCGTGCATGTCGAACCGGAGTACGGATTCGCCTGGCCGGGCTGCACAAATGGACCCCCGGTTGCCTTCCGCGCGGAATGCTCACAGAGACTGTGAGGATATCCAGCGTGGTCCTTGAAGGCGTTGATAATATCGGACTCTGTAAGAAACCCGATCAGCGCTTTTCTCCGGATGCCTACTTCCAGCCGATCAGCACGGTACCACGAACTGCCCCCCGCCAAACAGTCCTGGATCTCGGACTGACACAAGAACGCCTGCGTTTGAAAATGGTTGCTATGGAGAATATACGGAGTGTCGGAGCCGGCCGACCCGGATATCCTGAATATCATGCGGGGGGTGATTTCTAGACAGATGCCCATATTGTCTGCGGTGGTCAACATCAGATTGCAGGAGACGTGACGGGGTGTTCTGGCGACTCGTTTCAGACCGTCAGCATAGCTAGGGCTTTCTAGGAATAGTCGTCGTAGAGCTGAGGATGGAGGAATGGCCGGCATTTCCCCTTTCCCCACACTGGTGTCAAGCGAGGATGGCAGTGCATCGATTGAGCTACACAGGGAATTGGCGCACAATCCGAGCCCATCCGAATTCATTCCTGATCGACACAGTTGGCCGGCCTCGCTTACGAGGAATAAGGACGGTAGATTCTCTGAAGGATGCGGATGAACCTCGAGGTAGATGATCCCGTCTTCCTTGAAGAGCCGATCTGACATATCCCAATTTTGAGCCGTGTAGACTTGTCCATCTCCGGTCGCCTCCGATAGAATAATCGCGCTGGTACATTCAGAAGACGCTCGCGGATACGAAAGATAGTGTGGTCCTTCCTCGTTTTCGGGGGCCGACTTAGGAAGACTTCGAGTGGTTTCCTCACATGTTGTAGAAGGATTGCTAATGTGGGAGAGGTCATATCGAGCATTCAATAACACTATATCCTCCAGGTCCACTCCTGCACCGTCGGCGACGCCACGCATTTCTGCAAGCCCCGATAACCAATACTTTTCCAAGCCTGGAATATAGCATTCCCGAATAATCCTCAGCGCAGTGGGCCTACCAAGTATGAGTAGATTGACGCAAGATCGCCGGGCATGGTGTCTCACCATGCGATAAGGTTCCCTGGCCCTTTATAATAAGTTATATTCCGCAGAATCTTATCCCTAGCTTGTTGTCCATGCGAGAACCCGCGGTCATAGGGTAATCCGTACACGACGACATGCTGATAATAGTCGCCGCTGGCTTCGCTTGGCATATTGGCGTGCAAGATTAGGGCTTGGCATACACAGACGAGAAAAATAGGGGATCATTCGCGTCACTTTGCCTTTCTCTATCTTGACCTGGGATTGTAGGTTTTTCAACCTGTGAATGTCGAATGCACGGAGAATATAAGTGAGTGTTGTATAAAAACATTTTATCAAGTTTTAGTGATAGAACAGCATCGGTAGGTTCCCGACGGCCTTGAAACAGTCGGTAGCTTGCCGATTCCTCGGGAAGAGCCGATTCTCTTTATCCCTGTTCTCTCTCCAAAACCCCTATTCATCCACCCTCTGTCGTCACCCCAGATGACAGGATGATTTGCCTATCAGAAAGGGCCGTGCCGATCCCGCCATTTCTCCACATGGCATACCTAAATTTATTCAGTCGATGAGATGTGAGAAATTAGAATGGGGCGGAAACTGTGCGGGGATCGTCCTGGACCCTTGGTCTGGGGTGTGGAACAGTCTTGGGAGTCTGAGCAGAAGCTTGTCGGAGGTTCAACAAAATCCGACTTCAGACACCCCCTGACCTTCGTCGTCGTATATATTGAGTTGACATGTTGGTATCTCCCGTTTTTTGGCAATTTTGCGCGAATTGTGGGTCAACATGAATTCGAAGACCGTGGATATCTCTGTCTCTTCCGGTTCACAAATGGAGGTCGACCACCCCAAACAAAACCACGGGTACGATGATGCCATCAATATATTCAATGGAGAGTCAGGCGACATAGACATTGAGTTCACGGACAAGGAAGCCTCTGTCGTCCGCTGGAAAATTGACTTGACCATTGTCCCCATGGTAACTGTGACGGAAGATGTGCCCTTTGGTTCTTTGCTGACCGAAGTCCACTGGCAGATGACCGTGAGCTATATCCTTTCCTTCATCGACAAAGGTATTCTATCCACTGCTGCCGTTTATGGCCTCAGGACAGATCTGGTGAGTAATGAATGTATTCTTTTTCAAGGAGTAACCGGGGAAGCTTACAGTGCCTAAATAGGATCTGAAGGGCCAACAGTATAGTTGGGCATCGTCGATCTTTTATTTTGGGTATAAATCACCAGTCTTTGCCTTCAAGTGTGTCGCCTGACTCACAGCTTTAGGTTCCTTGTCTGGCAATATCCAAATTCCATCTTCATGCAAAAGCTTCCTATTGGCAAGTGGATAGGATCCATGATCTTCATGTGGGGACTTTGTGTCGCGACAACGGCCGCCTCGACGAATTTCGCAACGCTTGCCGTCAATCGGTTTTTCTTGGGTCTCTTCGAGGCCTCCAACAATCCTGCCTTCACACTCTTGGTCAGCCAATACTTCACGAAGAATGAGCATGCCCTGCGCTCATGTATTTGGTGGGCTGGTGCACCCATCGGCGCCTTTATTGGTGATGGTGTCTCGAACGGTATCGGCCATGTGCATGGGAAGCTGTCCCAATGGCAGGTATGACAAGGACCTTCCTGTTGTCTGTCATACAGAGCTTCTGCTAAAGACTGTGCCAGTATCTATATCTCATCTTTGGCCCCATCACCATGCTGTGGGGGATCATAGTGTTTTTCACCATGCCCTCCTCACCCATGTCGGCATGGTTCTTGACGCCTCGGGAGCGAAAAATTGCTGTTGTTCGGGTGAGAACACCCCTTCTCGCGCATGATCCCTCCTATTTCATGACGATTGACACTGGCAATTCCAGGTGCTTCAAAATCACGCGGGTCTTCACAACCGACAATATAAAATTTACCAAGTCAAGGAAGCCCTCCGGGATCCTCAGGCGTGGATGATGTTTTGCATAGTATTCTTACAGTGTATACCCGGAGGCGGCTTAAACGCGTTTAACAAGATTATTCTCACGGGTCTTGGTTTCTCCAGTGTCGAGTCCACTGTTGTCGCGATGCCAGAACATGCCGTTCAACTTGTCAGTGTGTTACTTGCGTAAGTTTTAAGATCCTCGATGTCCCCAGTGACCGGCTAACAGTAGAAGGGGTATTGTATGCTCGTGGGTCGGTAAGGGCCGATGCATTGCCATGATCCTCAGCAACGTATGCGTTCTTGTGGGCAGTGTTCTATTATACAGTAAGCTTCGAATACTTGTATAACTACTGACGCATTACTCACAAGAGAACAGCTCTGCCGACGGATCGGAAAATGTCTCGCTTGGGAGCTGTATATTCCCTTCTGACTTGTACAGTGTCCTACATCATGTGCATGTCCATGATATCGTCTAACATTGCTGGGTTCACTAAAAAAATGACCGTCAGTGTAAGTTCGTGGGACTTCTATCGGCTTTCAGTATTCTAGACAAATGCCTGACATAAAACTACCTTATTCCAGGTTATGATTTTTGTCGGCTACTGTGTGGGTCAAATTATCACACCGCAATTCTTCCTGTCGACGGAAGCACCGACCTATCCTACCGGATTCCGGGCCTATTTCGTCACCTCGTCCATGATGATCGCAGTCGAAGCTGCCCTAATGTTCTATCTGCTCAATGAAAACAAGCGGCGGGATAAACATGCACTTGAGTTAGGGGTCTCCCAGAACACCAGTGATCATCGTATTGTAGAGACGGATCTCTTAGATCTGACTGATTGGGAACGACCTGAATTTAGATATGCCTGGTAGTCTGAAAGTCAATGTTCAGGATTGGACAAAAGTCCCCAATTTTTCGCCTTCGTTCAGTGTACCACACACAATACCTTTCGCCATTTGCTAGATCGCACAACATGCAAAGCACACAAGCGAGCTATGGGCTATCTTATGTTCTACCTATTCTGCTACTAGGTGTGTAATATACGGGAGGACATGACGGCACAGCCGACGATTCTTATGATTATGACTTGGTCGAACCACATTCCCACACCCGTATCTCAATCCTTGGTGAGTTCATGGCGCATATATCTTGGATCATTCAAAGAATTCCACTCCTAGGAGTAGCGGCAAGGTGTAATATTTCGGGGTGGTGAGCATCTAGCCTGTGCGATCTCAGTTACATCAACATTCGAAGGGTAGACATACGGACATCTCTCTCTTAGGAGACAAGATGCAAAACCGAAAGCCCGCAAGTAGGGGTTCAAAGACGGTCACTGTGATATGGAGCAAGACATACAAAGGGTACATGAACAAATGTTGTCGCAACGGGCCTTCCAGATAGCAAGTATGGCACCATTTCCTCTGCTGACCTTACATCTAACAGGCAGCAAATCTTTGCCCATCTTCGCGTTTGCCTGTGAGTTGAGGCCTGGGCTCGGTCCCTAACGTTGCATAACGATATTCATTTAGGCGGTGTTTAGAGATTCAACATTTTGGCATTGGGTATCCTGCCATACGTCCTGAAAAGGGTCTATGATACCCCCCGGCTGCGAAAGTGTGGATACCTACAGCTATCTCCGCGGGCCTTGATATCGGTGTTGAGCGAAATGCAGTTCGGCCCCTGGCTTGGTCAACTCTCCTTTTTGCTCGTACCTATAACGAACCAAGACATTGCATGAGACATACTACTAGACTGGAGAAGAGCCCAGTATTCTGTAGCCATTGGAATACCCACACTCAGAGAAAGAGGAAGCATGTGATAAATGCGACGGCTCAAGTGTCCGAGCGAGATCAAAGATGATGCTCAGAGCTCACTATGGCGTGATCGCATCTAGCAATCAGGTGATGAGAGATCCAAGGACAAGAGACGATTTAGCAAAACCAGACGGCGAGAATCATGAAGGCTCTGTTGTCACTAATGGTATATACAATTATTGTGACCCACACATGAGCAAAGGTGGCAGGGCCCAGCGCTGCAGCTTATGCCAAGCTCCATCCAATCGGACTCCCCGTCGCGTTTGCGCAGTCAATCTACTGTGGAGTTCCGAGAAGCTGCAGAAGATCAGTTGCGACTGCATGGTACCGGGTGCAAGAGCTTTGCAGCTGAACTTTCCCTCAAGCAATGCCAGGCTGAGAGGCTGGCTAGCAAACTACGACCCTTGCAATCAGGTTAGCCAGATCTCAATTCGCCACCAAGGCCCCCTGGACAACTATGTCCTCTAGCCGCGACTATCCCTGTAGGCTAGAACAGCACGTATTCGAACTAGCTAAGAAGGACGTTGTGCTTATCAGAGACCCCTGTACCATGGGCTGTTCAGCTCTACGTTGTAGCGCTATATCACGGTAGTATCCTTTATCTAATTGTGCCCTCGTGTCTCCCATTGGTCGTCTACACATAGCACGTACATAAAAAATATTGCTCCAGATACTTACTGTTCGCCGCTTGTAAGTTACACAGAATTTTTGCACAAAGCCGCCGATATTCGGAAGATGAATATGGCCCGGGAAGCAATACTTTTTACGCCACAACAACTAGTCTAGTCATTGTAAGAGCCCGATAATCATGCCGGGAACCAGACAAGCGTCCCGCTATGCGAGGATATATTGGCACGGGTGATCTGCGCTTGTCGGCGAAGATCTCCAAGAATCGGCGGCCATCTCCCGTAGTTCTTCATATCGAGCAGGTCTTGTTATTCCGACGTAGGGCCGACGCGTAGCACATTGGTAGAGAAAAATAAACATCATGCAGGATCATCTACTACAAGGTCCACTAACGCGCATATTCGAACCGCTCTGCCGGACATCACAGCTGCAGGGCAAAACTCACTCAGGTCTGTAAAAAGGAGGGCCAAAGGCCTACACGTGTCTTCAGGGTAGGCGCAAATGAAAAAAATCTTCAGGCCTGGCCGAGTCAGAGCCAATCAGCGGGAAATCTGCAGGGGTGTACGCGTCGTCAGAACAGGATCTTCGGCCCGAATGCTACCAGGCCCTTATCAATATCTACTAGTTTTCCCTGTCGAAGTGCCTGTATAGATATGGCGGAAGTAATTCTTTCAGCTGGGTCCGGCGCTCAAAACTCCCGCGATGTCTCATTTCCCACCCAATCTGGGTTTTTTGTTATACAATAGGAGTCGGTCTGGGTGAATTGTCATAGTCGAGCTCGTCTCTATCGATACTTGGCTGCTAGTGTATTCGCTGTTAAGTTCTAGAATAGCACTGCAACGCTTAATGCGCGCCTATTAAGGGTGGGTCGTGCTAGAGAGGTTGCCGTTGGTTAGGCGTGTGCTAGTGAAGCGGAAATAGATAGTGGTACCTCAACCGGTAATGCTAGATCCGTTGGGCCTCAGCCCATGCCAAACATGCTATTGTGAGAGAAAGACTGATCGTGTGTTGCTGGTGTGTGGTTCGGTAGCAGAAACACGGCTGCCCTGAGGTGCAACGTACGGCAGCCAAGCTGCCTTCAGGATGAATGTTCGAGAGGTTCCTTGAGAAACGCCTCTTGGCATGCCGGCCAAGCCGGCGCGAAGTTGATCCTGTCAAATGTATGTTTAGGAACGGGATGCGCTGTGGCCAGTCTGATCGTGCTGTTGGATCGAGGCTAAGACTGTGACAATCCTTCCTGGCGATGCCCTCACCGGTTCCTCATTCTGGCCTCCAAAAGTGACTACAGGAAGAGGAAGCAAGCCAGGTTGGAAGATTGTCCCATCTTCTCTTCGGATACGTAAGTTAGAGAGTCCGAAAAAGCTATCTGTCACCAATGTTCTGGTACCAGTTAGTCAACAAGCTTCTGGGACCGTTTCTTGGCATTACAAAGCAGAAAGAACTCTTGTTGCTCCAGTCACGCCTTTTCCTGTTTCAATTGGTCTGAGGCCAGCACGATGCAAGACCCTGAAAATTTTTTGCTCCGACGACGACCAACATCAACCCACTCTTCAGCTACACCTCCACCCAATGTCACCCTAAACGGTTCACGCACATGTGTACTCGGTATTTCATGATCAGGCCCCCCTTTTGTACGTACCACATTCCGCTGAATTAAGCATCAAAAGTGACAGGGCGGTTCGCCTGTTGCCGATAGTTTGATAGGTGGCACCTAGCCGAGAAAGGGGGATATCTTCCCACCACACAATGCGATCGACTAGTAGCCCTCACTCGAACAGGTCCGTAGTGATACCGGGATCCCTAACCACGAGAGTCGCCCAGTTGTGAGGGATTTTCATTCCGATGCGAGTAAGAGCGGTCGGGTTGGTCGGTGTCCCGCGCCCGCGAACACGGAGAATTTCCCGATGGATTCGAAGCTTTTCTCAATTGCTTAGAGTAGACGATCTACCAACAGTGGGAGGGGATCAGGTGTGCCTCTCCATCGATTGCTGGTGCCTGTTCAGAGTCACGGCATGCGCGGGTCTCCGCGACGGGCCACAGGAGTCGAACTATTTACTGACTAAAACAAGAGAGGAATAGTCACGGGGGAGCGGGAACCCTGGTACGCCCATTCGCTAAGGCCACACTCCTTCGAGCGAAAGTCCCAATCGTCAGGATTCCTCAGTCTCCACCACGGTGGGGGTCGTGCATTGACTAGAGACAATGCGGGGAAAGACGGCACTCTTGTCGTATACCCTCAGCGCGTCTCGTTGGCCAGCATCTAAGCTTAACGGACGCCAACTGCGCGCATGACTGTGTGGGCGCCGTGCTAAACTATATTGCCATGACGCAAACACCGCGGGGGGTCCGAATACGAGGCCTTCTCAGAGGCTCGTCGGAGGCCACAGTCATCGCCTGGGCGATCTTTCTGCCCCCGGGGATTGGCCCATGGCAAGGCAGACAAAGAACCCCAGCCCGTACCGCTGTCAAACTCTGCTGTTCTAAAAAACATAGCCAACCAAACCACCCTCGACCCCTCAGGAAATGATTCGCTCTGTTCCAGTGGTCCACCAACAAGGATGCAACGTTGATAGATTAATCTACTTTCTTGGCCGAGGGACTGACTGAAGAACAGCATGTGGTTGTCGCCGACTATACGAAGGAACAGCCCGAATATCGGGTTTTCCTGGGTGCAGGTTCCACGCCGGGGGCCCACCATCCCGGTTGGGATGATTCTTGAGACAGGTCCCTTGTATAGGTAAATCGAGACGGGGGAAGAGGCACGGCTGGGAGATGTATAAAATGCGCGTCTTCCCCCCCGAGGACAGAATAGCTACCCAGACACTCTCACAGTTCTGATTGTCCTTGCAAAATCGCCTCAACCCGACGGAACAAAGCTTTCACGGAGCCCTTCCACCTCAGTCACCATGCATCTTTCTATGAAGACTCTCTTTGCTTCTCTCCTCGGAGCCACCGTTCTCGCAAGCCCTCTTCCTAGTAATGCCCTGGTTGAGAGAAACGCTCCTCTGAACGAGTTCCTCAGCATCCTTCTGTCTCATCTGCCTGCCATTAACGGCTCTATCACCGCGGTGTCGGGTCTGATCACCGACTTTGATCAAGTGCTCGCCGATCTCACCGGTGCTCAAACCACCCAGAATCAATATATTGGGGTCTGCACGGAGTACACCGTCCTCTTCGCCCGCGGAACCAGTGAGCCCGGAAACGTAAGTCTACTTGTCCTCCGTAGTGGTTCCATTTTTAATCTAGCGCAGGTCGGTGTCCTTGTTGGACCTCCTCTGTATGAGGCGTTTGAGGAAGCCGTGGGTGCGCGCGCCTTGAGCTTCCAGGGCGTCAACGGCTATTCCGCATCTGTCGAGAGTTATCTGGCTGGCGGTGACGCTGCCGGTAGCAAGTCAATGTACGTCTCTTCTGCAATGTTCCGCAACCATCTC